ATTTTATTATCTAGATAAAATAGCTAAAATCTACATCTAAAATCTTATCTAAAATCTAGATAAGCAAAATAACTATAAAATAAAATTTTGAACCCTGATATATTATCTTTTAAATCCAACTCTAATGACTATGTAAGATAAATTCTGGATAACTAGAATATTAAATGCTTTAAAACTGGGTTTAAAGCTTTAATTCACTTCTATTCTTATATAAGAAATCTTTCTGATGATTCTGACATAAAGGTTTATTCTGTGTAGTCACATTTCTGATTAAAAATTTTAAGATCTGTTAATTAAATATTAACTCCTCTATATCATCAGCACCTGTGGCAATAATTTCATCGATCATATTAAATATAGGCATATAAATAATATATAGAATTAGTACATAGAAATAAATATATTTTATTGAGTATTTTATTTATAAATAATACTAGTAATACTAATTCATATATATACATCTCAGAAAATATGCAGCAAATATACTTCCCCTACCTTTTTTGACATTTATAATTTTAAAAAGTACCCGTATAAATTGACTTTGAGAATGTTTGATTATATTGTTAATTGGGTTTGAATGGAATAAACCAATTCTATAAAAATTTACTTAACAAGTGGAATTACTGCCCTTTGTTCTTTATATAGTCTGTCTCAGGATGTAGTCTTTGGTTTATTTAATTCTGCTGAAAAACAAGCAATCAAAGTGCTGATGGAGAATAAAGTGCTCTCAATATCAGCAAGATTTCTTGAGAAATTTCATTTTAAGCTCCATAATAATAAAGATACAGCTACATTTGAATATGGAATAAAATTTCAGACAGTGCCAATATAGTCACGAACAGTGGACCATTTTTTGGTAAAATTTTAAGTAAAAGTCTCTTCATCATACACAAATTCCAAAGGAAAAAAACTGAATTTTTTAAACAAGAAAGTGAAAATACTCTCCGAGCTCTCTGTCACATTTGTGAACGTCAGAGTTAATGCACACATTCAACCCAAGTTTCCGAGCTTTTCCCTTTATTTGCCTCCATGTGTCTCTGAGACTTCCTCTCCATCTCTTTTTTGGCTTGTCTTTTCTGCACTTACCCCTATATGGCATGATTATTCTCTACCTATTTTTCTTCCTCCTTCTTATTTTATTTTCACCCACACAAATTTCTCTTTCCACTTTTTCTTTCCCTTTTTTCCTTTAAATATTTTGCTGTCCTCTTTCTCATCTATATTTTCTTTTGAGAACTTTTCTTAAATATTCTACAGAAGAAAAAATATTAAACTAGTCTATGAGCAGCAGACAAATGCTAACCAGTCTCCACATTTCATAGAGTGCTCTATTTCATCACCTCACTGTTTTGCCACTTGTTTCCCATTCACTTCTTATTTGCTGACCTTTATTCAATTACATAAGGGAAACTGTTCTCACTAAAACCACCAAAAATCACGTACTTTCTCAAACACAAAAGTGATTTTCCATCACTTCTTGTCCTACTACACCATTTATTGTGGCATTTGGCCCAGTACTTCACTTTGTCATTCTTTGTATTTTTCCTCCCTTTATGTCCCCAACACTTAGCTCTCTAGTTCCCCTCCAGCTTCTTCCCTTGATCGTTCTGCTCAATATCATTTTCTGCTCTCTCCCTCATCTCTCTTTTGAACATCCAAGTTTTTGGGGACTGTAACAGGAAATAAGTTATTGAATGGATATTGAGTTTAACATAGAAATGCTAGGAAAGTTGGAGAAATTCACTGGAAAACAATGGCAGGAACAGAAGGAAGCAAGGCAGCCAGTCAACAGCCAAATCCTGTTCCAGCAGTAGCTTCATGAGTGTGGTTGTTTCTGCCGCTGAACTGCCAATGACACAGCTTATATTATCTGCACCATTGTTTTTCAAATGCAGGATGCATGTCCTGAGATCTTGATATTTTTGCATATAATACAACTGCCTTTGTATTAATTTTTTAATTGTCCATGTACCTTTGTCTCCATCTCTCTGTATCCAAATCTAGGTTGAGTGGGTTTGATTATACATATCAAGGTCAAATCCTTTGTCTGCCACTAAGATCCATGTGGGAGAAAAAGTATCAGATGTTGACCATCCAATAAATGACATCCATTCCCTACACTACCTTTCAATGTAACTTCTCAAGTATATTTTCCCTTTTTTTGGAAATTTCAATTTTTATTTTAGATATAGAGGGTATATATGCAGGCTTGTTACATGGGTATACTGCAGGGAGGTAGTGAGCATAGTACCCAATAGATGGTTTTCCACCCATCCTCCCCTCCCTCTCCCATGTACTAGTCCAAAGTGTCGATTGTTCTCTTGTTTATGTCCGTGTGTGTTCAATGTTTAGCTCTCACTTGTAAATGAAAACATGTGGCATTTGGTTTTCTGCTCCTGTGTTGTTGGTTTGCTTTGGATTATGGCCTGCAGCTGCAACAATGCTGCTGCAAAGTACTTGATTTCATTCTTTGTTATGGCTGTGTGGTATTCCATGTTATATATGTATCACATTTAAAAAATCCAGTCCACCCCTGCTGGGCACCTAAAATGATTCCATGTGTTTACCCTTGCGACTAGTGCAGCAATGAACATAGGAGTGCTGTGACTTTAACAACCAAAACGGCATGGCATTAGTACAAAAACAGACACATAGACCAATGGACAGAGTAACAAACTCAGAAATTAAGCCACACGCTTGCAAAAATCTGATTTTCAACAAGGCTGACAAAAACCAAGCAATAGAGAAAGGATCCCTTATTCAGTAAATGGTGCTGGGATGACTGGCTAGCCACATGTGGAAGAATGAAACTGAACCCTTTCCTTTCACCATATACAAAAATTCATTCAAGATGGATTAAATATTTAAACGTAAAACCTCAAGATGTAAAAATCCTAGATGAAAACCTAGGAAATATTCTTCTCAACATTGGCCTTAGCAAAGAATTTTTGACTAAGTCCTCAAAAGCAATTGCCATGGAAACAAAAATTGACAAGTGTGACCTAATTAAACTAAAGAACTTCTGCACAACAAAAGAAACCATCAATAGAGTACACAGACAATCTGCAGAATGACAGAAAATATTTGCAAACTATGCATCCAATAAAGGTCTAATATCCAGAATGTATAAGGAACTTAAACAGATAAACAAGCAAAAAAGTTTAACCCCATTAACAATTAAGCAAAGGACATGAACAGATCCTTCTCCAAAGAAGACACACAGGCTGTCAACACACATGAAAAAAATCCAAATGCTCATCATTAATCATCAGAAGAATGCAAATCAAAATCACAATGAGATACCATTTCACACCAGTCATAATGGCGATTATTAAAAAAACAAAACATGCTGACGAGGCTGTGGAGAAAAGGAAATGCTTATACACTGTTGATGGAAATACGTTAGTTTAAGCCACTGTGGAAAGCAGCCTGGAGCTTTCTCAAAAACTTGAAACAAAGCTACCATTTGACCCAACAGTCCCATTACTGGGTATATACGCAAAGGAAATTAGGTCGTTATACTATCAAGGGTTTTCGGTGTTATGCTTTTCTTTCTTAATGTACTCTCCAATAGATAAGACATCCATTACTATGCCTTCAACTACTCCAATGACTCCCACTATCTATCACTCTAGTAGAATTGTATTAGTAATACTAAACATCTCACTTACATGTTCAAAGCATGCGCACACTGCAAACTTGTCAATGCATCTGAGTTCTCAGTCTATTTTGAATGACAATCTGTCTACTCACAAAGTGACTCCTTTTTCCTTCACTGAATATACTTTTCTATCAAATATGTGACTAGTGCCACTGCTTTCCGAATGCTTTAGAATCTATTTCTTCATCCTCATTATTTGCAAGAGTATAATACACATGGACTAGGCACTTGTACACTTAATAAAATCCTAAGCCCCCCATCAACAGAACAAACACCCTCTTGGCCAAAGGGTCTCCAGAAAAATTGTAAAAACAGTTCCCAGTCATGACTGGGTGGGAAGTCAGATGTGGCTTGTTATACTTCCTCTCTTTTGCAGTTTAAACACGATAACTGACCGGTATTAAGTTAAGATAGAGATTATAAGACTGACAGAACATACTCTTTATGACAATAAGATTCCAAATTATAAACAGAACTTAAGGCCACACCAGGCAAGGTTTAAGTCAGGCACCTCTACACTTAAAGAATAAACTGTGTTCTAACTGCCAGAAGGATTTTTTCTTTTTCTCTAGCAGCTAAACAGGCACTGGCCTCAAGATAAGCAAGATTAAAACAATTTGCAGCTGCACCAGATGCTCAGTAACTGAACCCCCTGCTAACAGACATAACTACAGCTTTGATTGGACAAGAGACTGATTTCAGTAACTTTCTCCAGATCAGAAGAAAACTGACCACGGACTGGTTCTGGCTGGTTTACAGAGACAGTGCATTTATGTGCCTTCATGTCCTGAGAAGACCTTTTGATGTATAGAGCCTAACTCTTACACATTTAAATGTTAACTCTCCACTCCAATGTGAACATGGGTTGTATGTTACATACATGTTTGTTCAATATGCATGTGCCAAGACCACTTTCATGAATACTCATAGATCCTCCTGTAACCTGTTGAATATGTATATTTAGCCAACTTATTTAGCCTAAAGCTCCTACCTCAAGCCCTTCTCCTTTGATGTGCCTGTCTCCGGTCTTGGCCAGAGGCATGCTTCCCAGCCTACTTGATGGCCACCTTGCAGGCTATAACCCCTTATAAGAAATAAGTCTTCTCTCCTTTTCTAAACTTACCAATAGTGATTTTCTTCAGTTAACACACATTACATGCCTTTCTGTCACCTGTGTTTTAAAAGTAGATTATTTGATCACATTTTTAGAATTAAAATAATTGCATTTATTTTGATTTCTTCTATTTCTCAAAACAGTTTCCATCTATTACAGGAATCTGAAAGAAAATTAAAAGGGTATCATAATAAGAGTATGTTTTTCTATCAACTTCCCTCCCTCACTATTTGCTTTATAAGTCTTAGTGAGTGCTCTTTTACATTTAATGCATTTCATTTCAGGGATGTCGAATGAGGACATGGAACAGGATAATGCAACATTGCTGACAGAGTTTGTTCTCACAGGACTTACATACCAACCAGAGTGGAAAATACCCCTGTTCTTGGTGTTCTTGGTGATCTATCTCATCACTATGGTGTGGAACCTTGGTCTGATTACTCTTATCTGGAATGATCCACAACTTCACATCCCCATGTACTTATTTCTTGGGAGTTTAGCCTTTGTTGATGCTTGGATATCTTCCACAGTAACTCCCAAAATGTTGGTTAATTTCTTGGCCAAAAACAGGATGATATCTCTGTCTGAATGCATGATTCAATTTTTTGCCTTTGCATTTGGTGGAACTACAGAATGTTTTCTCTTGGCAACAATGGCATATGATCGCTATGTAGCCATATGCAAACCTTTACTATATCCAGTGATTATGAACAATTCGCTATGCGTACGGCTGGTAGCCTTCTCATTTTTAGGTGGCTTCCTCCATGTCTTAATTCATGAAGTCCTTATATTCAGATTAACCTTCTGCAATTCCAACATAATACATCATTTTTACTGTGATATTATACCATTGTTTATGATTTCCTGTACTGATCCTTCTATTAATTTTCTGATGGTTTTTATTTTGTCTGGCTCAATTCAGGTATTCACCATTGTGACAGTTCTTAACTCTTACACATTTGCTCTTTTCACAGTCCTAAAAAAGAAGTCTGTCAGAGGCATAAGGAAAGCCTTTTCCACCTGTGGAGCCCATCTCTTATCTGTCTCTTTATATTATGGCCCACTTCTCTTCATGTATGTGCACCCTGTATCTCCACAAGCAGATGACCAAGATATGATAGACTCTGTATTTTATACAATTGTAATTCCTTTGCTAAATCCCATTATCTACAGTCTGAGAAATAAGCAAGTAATAGATTCATTCACAAAAATGGTAAAAAGAAATGTTTAGATCTCATAGTAATATCTCTCATGTTTAGTAAAAAGAATTTTGCAGTTAGATAAGGGGTTTTGTTAAGTATTCAAAGTTATTGTAATTATAATTGTTTTAGCATTTGAGTGACTTAAGGTTTTATACCTAACAAACTCCTTGAAATATTTATATATGTTATTCAAAAGCATTCAAGGAATTTTAACGAGGTGTTCATGTCATATTAGATTATTAAAACAGAAAACAAATGAAAACGTTTACGGGTTTAAATACCCTTCATGTGGCTTTACAAATGCATTAAATGTTAAAGCACTGTAGTTCCTCTCAAAAGTATTTGAGTAGGAGATATAATACAGGTGACAGAATGGTATGGTCTGGAAACACATCACATTTAACTGCATTGTGGTGGCAGGTTTGTGTTTAGTTGAGCTGATCAAGATCTCAGGAATCCGCTATCCCTCAAAAGGTCTTTCACTGCAGACTATTGGAAATGGTGAATTTCACTTCTTATAGGAATTTAACTCATATATCACTTGAAGCAATAAATAGAATGGAAAATGCAATCATAAAATAAGAAGTGAGTTAAAACTGCCAAGCAAGGCCAAACTCTAAAAGGATACTTTTACCTCTATTCATTTCTATTAGTAATAAGAAGAGGCAAGTTGCCTCTCTTTACTTATGATGCCTTCAGAGGCCTATTACAGTTGTATTTGTATGATACTGGAAAACATGAAAAGATTCACATTGCTAACGAATTCAGAAAGCTACCAGATAATTTAAAAGTTAAGTTAGCGTGGATGTAGAGAAGAAAAATGCCAGAGGAGAAAGTAAATGATATCAATTTTTCTAGAATTAAAAAAATGAAAGCAATGAGAAAAGGAAATCAGTAATATTTCCATAATTGTTGGCATTTGTTATGGATAAAAAGTGGCCTTAAATGCATGCTACCAAAGATCAAATAATGCTAAAACGATATGATCTCATTGTGTCCAGTGAGTGGCTAGGAAGTGTGTCAAAATAAGCAAGAATATGGATGTTTTGTGACTCAAAATTCCTTAAATTTTAGCTTTCCTCACACTACATCCTCTTGCTGTATTATGAGTGATCCATCGTCAGGTCACCCCCACTCTTACTCTTTCATCACTAAAATTTCATCTATATTCCTATTTATATCATTTCATCTACATTCCTGTTTATATCACCCAGGTCCCCAACCTAAAACAACTCACCTGTCTGTTTTGCAAGGCTCTAGTTAGTATCTCCCTTATCCTTTTACAGTCTCTTATTTCCTAAACGATGCTGTCAGATAATTTGTGCATTTAAGTTTAATTAAGTCATATCCTACTTAATTAACTTTTAATGGATTGTCATTGCTAGCAGATTATATACATATGTGGTACATATATCTAGATATGAATATATACATATGGATATGTTTGTTTATATGTCTGTACAGATTGTATAATATGCATATATGTTCCTCAACTAGTATTTATTCACCTGGAATTATTTGAGATATTTTGCAAAAAAACTTCTTGGTTTAATTCTGGAGACTCTTCTTCCATGATTCTCTTAATGGAACCTGTGTTGCAGCCAAAGTGAGTTACCAGGAGACTTCTGTGCACTCCTTACTCTGTCAGGTGCATGTTTTTGTTAATATAGCTCTCTCCACAGAGAATCCCCTACTACTGCAACTCACCTCTAAATCATTTGCAATTGGAATAATAACTTTCTTCAAGGTGTGTATGAAATGTTACCATTTCATAAAGTTTTCATCCGCAAAGCTTTTTCTGTTTACCTGGAAGAGGATTGGAATGCTCACTCACTTAAAACAATGAGCACTTCATTTATACTTCTTTTTTTTTAAATTTTTCAACTTTTAAATTCAGGGGTGCAGGATGTGCAGGTTTGTTACGTAGGTAAATGTGTGCCGTGGTGGTTTGCTGTACAGACCATCCCATCACCCAGGTATTAAGCCCAGCATCCATTAGCTATTCTTCCTGACTCTCTCCCTCCTCCCACCAACCACTCTTCAACAGGACCCAGTGTGTGTTGTTCCCCGCCATGTGTCCATGTATTCTCATTATTCAGCTTTCACTTATAAGTGAGAACATGCAGTATTTGGTTTTCTGGTCCTGTGCTAGTTTGCAAAGAATAATAGCCTCCAGCTCCATCCACGTCCCTGCAAATGACAAGATCCCATTCCTTTTTATGGTTATATAGTATTCCATGATAAATACATACCACATTTTCTTTATCCAGTCTATCATTGATGAGCATTTAGGTTGATTCTATGTCTTTGCTACTGTGAATAATGCTGCAGTGAACATACATGTGCATGTGTCTTTATATAGAATGATTTACATTCCTTTGGGTATATACACAGTAATGCGATTGCTGGGTTGAATGGTACTTCTATCTCTAGGTCTCTAAGAAATTTCCACACTGTCTTCCACAATAGTTGAACTAATTTACACTCCCACCAACAGTGTATAAGCATTCCTTTTTCTCCACAACCTCACCAGCATCTGGTGTTTTTATTGACCTTTTAATAATAGCCATTCTGACTGATACAAGATGGTATGTCATTGTGATTTTGATTTGCATTTCTCTAATGATCAGTGACATCGAGTTTTTCTTCATATATTTGTTGGTTGCACGTACGTCTTTTGGGAATTGTGTGTTCATGCCCTTTGTCCATTTTTTAATGGGGTTGTTTGTTTTTTTCTTGTAAATATGTGTAGAGGACTATGTGCTCACAAACAGGGTGTTCCCGATAAGTCCTGCTCTCGCAAACGAAGCAGGGCGTTCCCCATAAGTCCTGCTCTTGCAAACCAAGTCAGGGAAAGGTCAGAAAAACAACAATGTGTCTTGTGACTTGGTAACATTCCACAAACGACTGTATAAAAGAAAGCAGAGCGTGCCATTCGGGGCGGCCGCCATGTTTGTCTTGTCTTGTGTTGTCTTGTGTGTTCATTCCTTTGTTTAGGAAACACGCGGACCCCAACATCATGTTTAAGTTCCTTATAGATGTTGGATATTAGACCTTTATCAGATGCACACATTGCAAAAATTTTCTCATTCTTAGGTGGTCTATTTACCCTGTGTTGATAGTTTCTTTTGCTGTGCAGAAGCTCTGTTCAATTAGATCTTATTTGTCAATTTTTGCTTTTGCAGCAATTGCTTTTGGAGTCTTCATCATAAAATCTTTGCCCATGCCTATGTTGTGAATGGTATTGCCTAGGTATTCTTCTAGGGTTTTTATAGTTTGGGGTTTTACATTTAAGACTTTAATCCATCTTGATTTGATTTTTGTATATGGTGTAAACAAGGAGTCCAGTTTCAATTTTCTGCATATGGCTGGTTTGTACTCTTAACACCACTTATTAAATAAAGAATACTTTCCCTGTTGCTCGTTTTTGTCATATTTGTGGAAGACCAGATTGTTGTAGGTGTGTGGTCTTACTTCTAGGTTCTCTATTCTATTCCACTGGTCTATGTGTGTGCTCTTGTACCAGTACTATGCTGTTTTGGTTAATGTAGACCTGTAGTATAGTTTGAAGTAGGGTAGCATGATGCCTCCAGCTTTGTTCTTTTTGCTTGGGATTGCCTTGGCTATTCAGGTCCTTTTTTAGTTCCATATGAATTTTAAAAGTTTTTTCTAGTTATGTGAAGAATCTAATGATAGGAATAGCATTGAATCTATAAGTTGCTTTGAGCAGTATGGCCATTTTAATGATACTGGTTCTTCCTATCCATGAGCATGGAATGTCTTTCCATTTTTTTGTGTCATCTCTGATTTCCTTGAGAGGTATTTGGTAGTTCTTCTTGTAGAGATCTTTCACCTCCCTGGTTAGCTGTATTTTTATGTATACTATTCTTTTTGTGGCAATTGTGAATGGAAGTGCATTTGCAACTTGGCTCTAGGCTTGTCTGTTGGTGTATAGGAATGCTAGTGATTGCTGCACATTGATTTTGTATCCTGAGAATTTGCTGAAGTTGCTTGTCAGCTTAAGAAGCTTTTGGGCTGAGACAATGGGTTTGCTAGATATAGGATCATATTATCTGCAAACAAAGATAGTTTGACTTCCTCTCTTCCTATCTGAATACCTTTATTTCTTTCTCTTGACTGATTACCCTGGCCAGAACTTTCAATATTTTGTTGAATAGCAGTGGAGAGAGAGGCCAACCTTGTCTTGTGCCAGTGTTCAAGGGGAATGCTTTCAGGTTTTATCCACTCAGTATGATATTGACTGTGGGTTTGTCATATATGGCTCTTATTATTTTAAGGATTGATTCTTCAATACTTAGCTTATTGAGAGTTTTTAACATTAAATGATGTTGAAATTTATTGAAGGCTTTTTCTGCATCTATTGAGATAATCATGTAGTTTTTGTCTTCAGTTCATTTATGTGATGAATCACATGTTTCGATTTGCCTGTGTTTAACCAACCTTACATCCTGGGGTTAAAGCCTACTTGATAGTGGTGAATAAACTTTTAGATGTGCTGCTGGATTCAGTTTGCCAGTATTTTGTTGAGAATTTTTACATTGATGTTCATCAAGGATATTGGCCTGAAGTTTTCTTTGTTGTTGTATCTCTTCCAGGTTTTGGTATCAGAATGATGCTGGTCTCATAGAATGAGTTAGGGAGCAGTCTCTTCTTCTTTTTTTTTTTTCTTTTTGAGATGCAGTCTCGCACTATCACCCAGGCTGGAGTGCAAAGGCACAATCTCGGCTCACTGCAAACTCTGCCTCCCAGGTTCAAATGATTCTCCTGCCTCAGTCTCCCGAACAGGTGGGATTACAGGTGCCTGCCACCATGCCCAGCTAACTTTTGTATTTTTAGTAGATACAGGGTTTCATCATGTTGGTCAGGCTGGTCTCGAACTCCTGACCCTGTGATCTGCCTGTCTTGACCTCCCAAAGTGCAGGGATTACAGGTGTCAGCCACTGCGGCCCTTCTTCACTTTTTTTTTTTTTTTTTTAAATAGTTTCAGTAGGAATGGTACTGCTTTTTT